TTTAAGATGTTACGTCAATATTTTGAGAAAGTTTCTCATTATAATGACTTACAGAATCTTTTATGTCCCGTCACATTGGCAGAAATGTGCTTCCATAATACCTGACGTATGGTAGCATGTATAAATGAAATCATTATCACCACAGTAAAATTAACAGAGCTCAACAATACTTCCATGCTTTGCAACCAAAATATGAAAACAAAACAATTTCCCCTGCGACTCATCTGTCTTCACCTACACGATCTCTGCGTCCGTTCACAGCCGCTTCCTGATCCATTGGATTTACTGTCGAGCTGCTGCACCGTCGGGACGGCCTCCTCATGTCTTATTACTCCACCAAATCACTCAAACACAGATTCTACAAACACCAAAAACGTCCACAAGACGAAAACGTTACACATCTGATATTTGGTCAAACTGTGAAATAAATATTTTAATGACTTTGTGCTGAAACGTCGTGTTTAAGGGTGAATGAGACACCGGGAGACGCGTTCATTTTGAGCTGTAAACCCCACTGGAGACCAAACATGCAGGATAATCCCTGCACGAACACGGTCCACTACTTTATCCTATTAAAATCACTGGAAGCACCAACGGGGATGAAAGATGTGTGTTGTAACGGCGCCATCTGGTGGTAAGAGAGAGACACTACACCCCAAAGCGCCTCTCCCATTGACATATTTATATAAAGCAATGTGCATATCTAAACTTTAAACTTAACAATATATTTTCTGTTACTAGGTGGTCCTCACATTGTTTTGTTTTCTAATGAGATGTAGAAAAGTAAAGTGTTTTTGCTCAACTATCCCTGTAACTTTTAGGTACTTTAGGCATTTTATTGTATTTTAATGTTGCTCTATTTGTTTATTTCTATTTAAGAAAAATATATCAAAATCACAAAATATCCTGAGAATTTTTTGTCGTCTTTCAGTGAGCCAGTTGTCTCCATTCATTCCCATGCAGTATGAAAACTTAAATGCTTGTTTAACCTACAGTAGATAAAGCATCACAGGGAAGATGATCTGTTTCTATCCCGTCTGTTGACAGGTAATGCAATTTAAACCTTATATATTATATTATTAACCTTATATGCACATTGGTGACTAGCATAAAGGTACTTTTAAAGAATCATTATAAAGCAAATGAACACTGTAACAGGACAGATGTTATAATGGATCACTAGCAAGTTTAAAATCTCTGCAATTTAATTTCTATTAATTTGCTTTGTAAAGGGCAGAAAGTTGCAAATACACTCGATTTGAGTTGAATTACTAAATTAAGATTTGTAATGAAGCATGTTTGGGTTTGGTACTTGTATTAAACTAAATTACTTTTCACATCACTGCTGAATTAGATGAGGATAAACACATTAAAGTTCACTTACAGTAGCTCAAAAAGGAGAGGGGGAAAACAGTGTAATTCTTGTGTAAGTCCTTTAAATCAGACAGTGTCAGAGAGACGGTTGGTGTTGACTTTCTGCATCATTCCACTTTAAAAAGGTATCCGACTCTTCAGATCAAACAAAAGCCACGACAGACTCTAGTTCCTAACAACATTTGTTTAATGGTGGGAGACAAAAACAGAACCGATGGATGAGAACATGCAAACTGGAAATACAAAACACATGGATTTGACGTCCATGTCATTTTGAGTCAGACACACACACTGCAGAGTCATTAGGACTGCGTAACAGTCTGTCATCCTTAGAAAAACAAACCACACGGGGCAGAAAGTGGCGCAAAAAACAAAAAGCGAGACGATGGACACGTGAGGTGAAAGAAAAACGGCACAAAGAAAAAATAAGAATAGTAACGTGGAGCATAGCCTTTTCATTTTACACACATGTACATAAATACATAAGAGGCACATTTGACCACCGACGGGGTGTCAGTCAGTATCATGTCAGTCGTGTGTTTTGGACAATCTTGTCCTTTTGTCTAAAGTGAGAAAATAAACTATTATCATCAACGTGTCTGCAGTTGTTACTTTTCTATCTGGTTAACAGTTTCTCTGCACTAACCGTGTGATAATTCACTGCTCGGATGTGAGCTTGTTGGTTGGCGGAAGTGATCACCAAGTTGCTTTAACCTCTATGATGGAGAGAAAAACGCCACCAAATACTAAACTACGAGAAGAAAAACAAAACAAAAACTCTGCAAAGGGACGTTTGCACAAGTCATACCGTTGGTCTGTGATCTTCTGTGTTTCTATAATACAGACTTCAATACTTTCAATCACAGTGAGGCATTAAAGGGTCCGAAGAAAATGAAGAGATCACAACACAAGACATACTCGGGGTTCCTGTGTACTTTTCTCTCAGGGCATTCAGTTCTCCACTCATACAGTGAGTGTACACGAGGGATACTTACAAACTTTTAACAGTGCAATTTTGGTCGAACCAGAATTATTGTCTTCTTCCACAGAACCTTTGTCAAATCCAACATTTTTTTTAAGACTTGGTAGAAACTCCCTTAAAACTTACAGGAACCCCAGACATTAAAAAAAAAATAATAATAATTCTTGAAAACACCTCCAATAAGCTTTAGTGGTCAACTCCACCGCCAACATCTAACTTAAATCAGTAGCATCGATAACACCTCTTTGACATTCCCAAGCTGCGTCGCACAAGACACTTAAGTAGATCGGACGACATTAAATAATAGTGTGATGAAGAAAACAAAAACAAAATGATTGTACCTTCCTCAAAGGAATTCCCTCACATAAACTGGTGATGCTCCCACGCAATGAGTTGTACGTTAAATACACGAGTCATTAAAGCGAGAGCACAGTGAGCACTGGTTTTGTTCTTCGTCAGATCTACATCGGAGCCTGGTGCTGGAAGCTGTAGCTTGTTAAAGACGGGACACTGTCCTGTTTATCAGTAGCACGTGCTATACCTCGATGTGGGACTGCAATACTGTCCCTCTAAAGAGATACAAATGTCTTATGAGCCAATTTCAGTACCTTACTGCTATTGCCAGGAAAAACACGGAGGGGGGGGGGGAGCCTGACTCATCTTCGCTGAGCATTTTTGAAAACGATTACCGGCTTTGTCCTGCAAACTTCTTCCACAAAACAAACCGAAGTGCAGGAGCAGCAGCAATTACAAGTCAATTTTAGAGTTTCAGCTGAAAGAAGTGCCTCTTGATGGACAACCTACATACCAATTTTATCAGGGGATTCATTTGGAAAAAAAAAAAAAAAGGCCTACAGTCTGGTTCCATGAGGTATACAGGTTTTTTTTTTTTAATTTCCACAGTTTGAACTGAGGTTTTGTGTGGTGTTCTTGCTTGTGACAGAACGTAAATAAGAGGTCCTGGAGCAAAGTGCCAATACTTACAATCTGTGTTGTTTTTACTTGCTCTTAAGCAAAAAGCCATACAGTTGACTGCAAGCATCAAAGCGTACATGCCACTTAACAGTATGTAATGTTGGTTGTATGATGTAAAATTTAGATTTTTTTTTTTACTATAATGAAATTTAGATTATGTAGGTTGCGTTGTCTTGTACTATTAGACCAATATATAGCTCCTAAATGATCATAACACCATTATGTCAATATGAATAACCTGTAACCTGAGTTACCAGGTAAACTACTGGGGACAAAGACAAAGAAAACAACCGAACTGGTCATCACGGTGTCCAACTTTTACCACAAAACGTTCTGAAGGAGGAAAGGAAATGCAACAGAGTGGTGGGTCACAAAGCAAAGCAGAAATAAAAGCCGTCTGAAGTGCACCCAGTATAAGCGCCGTCGTCATGCCTCAGATATGCCTTTAGTGAGGCCGTGGGGTTTCCCCTAGCTTCCTCCAGGGCTGACGTACTGGCTCTGTGGCCTGGAGCCTGTGGAGCGGCAAGACGGGAGTTCTGGTTATCCAGCAGTTTTTTTTGTTTTCTTAAAAAGGCCTTGATCCTCCTTACAGGGTCAGAATCACATATTCTTCAGTGCGAAGCCAGTCTGGAGGAGGCGGGAAGTCGGGGAATTCTTGGCAACAGGAGAGGGAGGAGGAGGAGGAGGAGGAGGAGGAGGAGAAGGCAGGAGCAACAGTCTTCACTTGTGTTTTTTTACTGATTCTGGGAGTTAAAAAACAGTGCGTTTGAAGGTTATATTGCACAGTTCTAAGGAATAGTAGAGACAGACAGGTGACCGGGAGGTTATTGGCTGTTGAGGGTTGTTATACGGGGTGGTGAAGCGGTTTCTGCTGTACGGCCCAGCGTTAAAACACAGAGCGCAGCGGCAATCGCCCGTCTTGAGCCGACACACAGGGCTGAAGGTGGGAGACAGGCCTCATCTACGAGTCCAGAGAATCACCTGCAGGATGAACGGAGAGACAAACAGGCAGAAAAGAAAGACAGAGCTGTAAAAACACAGAAATGTAATATCTCCCTATCTCTTAGTGCTTTGATCCTCTAAATAGAGTCGCTAGTGGAAACAGATTCATGATTGAAAATGGGTCACATCTTGTTTCTTATCTTCAATACAATTACTCTGTAGTAAGAACGTTTTTTTTTTTTTTTTACCCTCAGTCAAGTGTTTCATTCTCAAGTCAAAATCCTTTTAGTTTTCATTCTTCCTCTGTGGTTCATACTTATTTTCCAACCTGGAAACTCACTCAATGTGTGTTTTTTTAAAGAATCTAGTCTAAATCTCTTTTTTTTTTAAATAGACATGCCTAAAACAGGTTTGCTACATCGGCTACAGGGCGGTTCAAACTGATTTGTACGTGACAAATAAAGCCTGATCCTTAATCGTAGCCCACGGTGCTCATGTACGCAGTGGGTTTCATTTAAAACCTCTTCCAGCTTTGCGAGTTAATGAACCACAGGGCGGCACAAACAAACAGCAGCCAGCAGTTTAATCTAATGACTTTGACGGCGTGCATCGGCGCGCAGAGCCATTACTCCTGAACCCTTTCACTTTTGTGTGCTACACCTTCAACACAAACACTTGCATGCAAATGATTTCTCCTGATGTGCACAGGGACACAGTCTCCCTCTCCTCACCTTCCTGTGGCGGGTCAACACTGATCTCCTCCGTCTCCTCTGCGTCCTCCCTTGTCTCTTCCGTTTCGTCCCTCATCTCTTCCTCTGCATGTTCTCTTCTTCTAGCTCGCTGGCAATGAGCTGGCGGGCCAGCTTGATGTTCATGCCCTCGTTGTAGTGCATCTTCCTCATCATCTGAAAATGCGTCTTTTTGGCTGCGGAGGAAGATAAATTTGAAATCACTTTAATTTGCCAAAAGCTATGGGTGGCTGGAGGATTTAGCGAGGCTAATGATACTGCTGGCACAGTTCAACTCTACCGATAAAAACAACGGTAAATGATAAAACAGAACTCGGTTATCCGTGGAAAGATTTTTCACATTCACACGTGGTAGTAACTCTCTTCTGCTGCGTCTCTATTGTTTCTATGACAAACGTACTTGAAAAAGGGTCAAACTGCCAATGGGACACAGCGAGGAAGCTGATGAGGGTTGTTTTAGTAAACAATAACCTTGGTGGATGCTAATTGCACTGAAATAAGATATGGTGTGACACAGACAGGGGCCATGTTTGGGCTCCATGTCTATAAGTGTGAGTGATGTCCCACCGACACATTTGGGATTTAAGATTTCAATGCGCACACATCCGTGACAGGTGAAAGCAAAGCATACAGTGAAGGTTGGAATGAGGTCGTTTCATCCTGGCTCTGCAGTGCAGCTTCTTATGCAGAATAATACATAGACGCACCTTAGTCAAAATATATACGAGCATATATCTGCTCACAGAACACATTAATGAATATTCCCACATTCTCTTCAACCTGAATCAGCATGTCTGTAACAGCAGCTCTACAACGGATGTTTAAACTTTCCAATAGGTGGCACAAGTTGGCACATCTACAACTGTGTGTCAGAAACTGCTGAGGCTACAGCTCTGCAGTTGGACTATATCGATCAGGTTTGCAGTTTCCAGGTCGTTCTCTTGCTCTTACCTGCGTAGCTCAGATATACGAAACACTGGGCAGGAGAGAAACTTTTTCTATCCTGTTAATATTCTACTCTGTGTGTGTGTGTGTG